CTGGCGCCTTAGCCGCTTGAGCCACAGGCGCCGAGCCTGGAATTGTATTTTTAAAGAAAGATTTAAATTCATAGCTTAGCAAATTTGTGGTTTTATTTTGCTTTTTGTGTTTTTAAACTTTAAATCAGTAGATTTCATGAAATTTTCTTATGCATTTTATGTGTTTTTCCAGTAAACTTTTACATTATCTTAATTGAGTTGGAATAAAGGCATGCAGATTTTGAAAACCTTAACTTTTAACTAACTGGGCATTCTGGCAGGTCCCTGTAGTCCCAGCTACTCGGGAGACTGAGGCAAGAGGATCGCTTGAGCCTTCGAGCTGTGATGTCACGGCATACTAGCCTGGGCAACAGAGTAAGACTCTGTCTCAATAAATAAATAAATAAAAATAAAAATCTCTAACTTTTAATCTGGTGTCTAGCTGGATGATTGTGGGGTGCATAATTATACGGTGATAAATTATACTCCTTTTGCCTAAAAAGCTGCTGAGGATTGAGGAGGTATTAAATTGGTTCTTGGCGTTATTGATAGTCCTCAGTAGACAATGCAAAAATCTTTAAAACATTGGAGTCTGGCATAATTTTAGGCAGGGCAGATGTTGATTATTTTATACACGTATTTATTTGTATATATATGTATATAGCAGGCATGTGTATATTTTCAAATCTGTTGTTAAGGAAAATATCATTGTGTGTGTGTGTGTGTGTACATACATCCATGGATACACATAGTCAAATCATGAAATTGTCATAAAAGATACATTTTGGGGGTATATCATAGGCATATATGTAATGATGAAGCCTTTGTGTCTACTTAAATTTTATAGGTATAGCTAGACATTTCCGTTTTGGAAACCAAGAAGATGCCCATGAATTTCTTCAGTACACTGTTGATGCTATGCAAAAAGCATGCTTAAATGGCAGCAATAAGTAAGTACAATAAAGTCATTTCTTCATTTTGCATCCCTGGTTATCAAAATTAAGTTTGGCCTTTTTTTTTTTTGACAGGGTCTTGCTATATTGCCAGGCTGGTCTTGAACTCCTGGGCACAGGGAATCTTCCTTCCTCAGCTTCATAAGTAGTTGGGAACATAGGCCTGTGCCACCGTGTCTGGCAGTTTTTGCCTTTTATATTGAAAATTCATAGATGCATGTTCATTTCACCTTTTAGCTTTGTACAGTCTCTTCCCAGTTGATTTACGTTATTTTAAAATGGTTAAAATTTAAAAAGATATGCCTACCATGACAGTTTGAATTTGCTCAACTATAGATGTCAGAAAATGAACAGTAGTCTTGCTTTTATTTAATTTCTGAGTAACAGTGTACCTCTGCAGATCTACAACTAGCTGCTGCCATTTTTTAATTGTGCCTGACATTTTCTTTGTTGACTTCCAGCCTTGGAATCTGTATTTGTTTCCTGCTTCTGTCTCTTTCTGGTTAGTTACTGATTCCTATAGCTTATTCAGACTTAAATGTAGACTCAAGAGGACGATTGGGGAGACAATTAGATAAGTGCTAACCCGTTTGTTGCTGAACTCACCTGGTAAACCTTTGCCTTCCCACTGCCCCAGCATTGGGAAGCCTTAGCAGGGTCCCAGACTTGAAGGAGTCTGCCTTCCCAAGCCAACCTCCTGCTCAGTTCACAGTCTGCTAAGGGTGTCTTTTTTGTGCTTTGGGACCATATTCTTCCCTTGATCTTGAAGTCCCTTTATTACGTAGCTCCTATTATTCTACTTCTTTTCCTTACCACTCCTCAAACCCTCACTGTGTTCTGGTCACTCATGGCTATTCTCTGGCTGCCACACATACTATCTTTTTATTTTTTGTGGCTCTCTGATTTAAATTCTTATTCTTTTATACTTGATCTTAGCCAAAGGCTGAGAAACAAGAATTCTTATTCAGTTCTAAACATTTTTTTTTTTTTGAGACAGGTTTTCACTTTGTCACCCTCAATAGAGTTCCATGATCTTAGCTCACAGCAACCTCAAACTCTTTTTTTTTTTTTTTTTTACAGTTTTTGGCCAGGGCTGGGTTTGAACCTGCCACCTCCAGCATATGGAGCTGGCACCCTACTCCTTTGAGCCACAGGTGCCACCAAACCTCAAACTCTTGGGCTTAAATGGTTCTCTTGCCTCAGACTCTTGAGTAGCTGGGACTACAGACACCCACCACAACACCCAACTATTTTTACATGACTCTGAGATTAAGAATCTCATGCTTTACTAACTGACTGAGCTAGCTGGGCAGTTTTTATTATTTTTTAAGAGACAGTCTTTCTCCGTCTCCTACACTGGAGTACAATGATATAGTCATACCTCATTGTAGCCTTGAACTCTGGGGCTAAAGAGAGCTTCATGCCTCAGCCTCTTTTTTTTTTTTTTTTTTTTTTTTATTGAGACAGAGTCTCACTTTGTCGCCCTTGATAGAGTGCCATGGCATCATAACTCACAGCAAACTCAAACTTTTGGGCTCAAGCAATTCTCTTGCCTCAGTCTCCCAAGTAGCTGGGACTACAAGTGCCTACCACAGCATCCAGCTATTTTTAGAGACAAGGTCTCACTCTGGCTCAGGCTGGTCTTGAACCTGTGACTTCAAGCAGTCCACCCGCCTCAGCCTCCCAGAGTGCTAGGATTACAGGCGTGAGCCACCACGCCCGGCCTTGTACATGCTTTTACAATCTGGTCATAGCATCTATGTAGATTTTGTAGAACTCATCTCTCTTATTACTGTTTGATTTTTTTTTTTCAGATTAGACAGACACACCCAGGCTACCACATTCGTTTGTCAGATATTTGGAGGATACCTACGATCTAGAGGTAAACTTTTGTTTAAAAATTGATTAGGTGATATATGCATGTGGTTAAAAAAAGTGCAACCATAGGAAAGGGTTAGTAATGAAAAGTACATGCCTTTTCCAGCCCAGATTCCTGTCCCTTCTCCTCAAAAGCAACCCCTATACCAGTTTGTAGTTTATCCTTCCAGTAGTTTCCTGTGTGTGAACAAACTGAGATGTATTGCTTTCATTTTTCTCTTAATATTAGCAAGCTTTTTGCATTATAGTACACATAGGTTTAACAAAGTCTTTCATAGTTGCAATAGTATTCCATTTATTTTAGTCCCCTCTTGATGGCTATTTAGGTTATTTCTATTTTGTTGCAGTTGTTGTTATAATCATCAGTGCTTCATTGAACATCCGTGTATACTTACTTTATATAAAAGCACATATGTAGTGTAAATTCTTAGTCTCAGAATTTCTGGATCATAGGGTATGTGTGTTTTAATTTTAATACTGTCATGTCTTTCTAAGAGGTTACACTAATTTATATTCCTCCCAGTTATCTGAGGGGCTAAATTCATGACACTTTCACTTACATTGTGTATAGTAAACTTAAAAAATTTTTTAGCCAGGTGCGGCGGCTCACACCTATAATCCCAGAGCTTGGGAGTCCGAGGCAGGTGGATTGCCTAAGCTCATAAGTTTGAGACCAGCCTGAGCAAAAATGAGACCCCGTCTTTAAAAAAAAAAAAAAAAGCCAGATGTGGTGGGTGCCTGTAGTCCCAGCTACTTGGGAGACTGAGGCAAGAGAATCACTTAAGCCCAAGAGTTTGAGGTTGTTGTGAGCTGTGATACAACAGCACTCTATCAAGGGGGACGTTGTGAGACTGCCTCAACAAAAAAAAAGAAAAATGTTTTTGCTCAATCTGATAGGAGAAAAATTATACTTTAATTTTTACTTTGGAAATAGTACTTGTCTTTCATCATTTTGTTAGTTGGTGCTGCTGTAATGATTGCACTCTGCTTATCCTTTGCATTTTATTTTTATTTCAGTCAAATGTTTAAATTGCAAGGGCGTTTCAGATACTTTTGACCCATATCTCGATATAACATTGGAGATAAAGGTAAATTTGGTAATTGTTACGGTGGTTAAGTTATTAAAAATGTCATTTTATATTAACCTTTTGTATTTATAGTTCATTTATAAGTTAGACTACATTTGTTAAAGAATATGAATTGCACAATTAAACATGGTAAGATTTTATTTGGAGGTGATTATTCAAGCTTTGTAGTATGCATCATGAAAAAAATCGTATAGCAGTTGAATGCTGCCAGATGTAGTGGCTCATGCCTGTAATCCTAGCACTCTGGGAGACCAAGGCAGGAGAATTGCTTGAGCTCAGGAGTTAGGACCAACCTGAGCAAGAGCAAGACCCCATCTCTACTAAAAATAGAAAAAATTAGCTGGGTGTTGTGGCGGGTCTCTATAGTCCCAGCTTTTTGGGAGGCTGAGGCAGGGAGATAGCTTGAGCCCTGGAGTTTGAGGTTATAGTGAGATATGATGATACCGCTGTACTCTAGCCTGGACAACAGAATGAGACCCTTTCAAAAACATACAAACAAATTACAAAACTTAGAACAATCTTACTCATCCTATAAGGGTACATGTGAATCTCTCTACTTGTAGAATATGAATGTCTTAACATAATAACAAAGAAAAAGACATGAAGGCTATGTTAACCAGTTGGATGAAAGTATTTCAAATTGTATACAGAAACAGTATACTGTACCCCAAGATAGTATTACTGTACACTACTATGATTTCATAAAAAAAAAAATTAAAAAAAAGAACAATCTTACTACCCTGTGACTTTTCATTTGATACATTTTAATATAAAAACCATATTCTGATGCCTTTCTTAGCCAAACATAGTCATTACTTATTTCTTGTACTTTCTAAGCTTTTTGTTCTTACACTTCCATTTTTCTTGTTACCAGTGAGATACATGTTTATGATAAAAATGAGAAATACTTGGGGGTGGGGTGGGGGAAAAAAGATGAGAAATACTGTATTTCAGATATATATAAAATGCTATCCCTAAGAATTCTTTTTAACGGTTCAATATACACTACTTTAGAATATATTGGTTACTTTTCAAAAAATGAGATTATGCCTAATGTCTGTCTGGCTACCTGCTGTTTGCCTTTAATTCTGGTTGGAGACCTTTCTATATAAGTTGTGTTCTTTGGGCAGTTGTGTGGTGGTCCAGTGAATGGATATACCATAATTTATCTGCCTAAATACTTGTCGGCAGCATTTTGGTTTGCTTCTAGTTTTATGCTATGTTAAGTGAAGTAGTAGTGAGTAGCTTCTTTAGGTATTTTTGTTTACTTTGCTTATTTTTTAATGGGAAGGGAAATAATTTGATGTGTAGATGTGTAAAGATGACCATCATAATAAAGAAAAATGTCTTTTTACATAAAAATTCCTAATTTGCTTTTATATCTTTGAGACTTCTTTCTGTCTCTTCTTTTCAGCAAAATGGCCATATGTGATAATGTGGTGTTTATGCTGCTTCTCTTCCTAGGCTGCTCAGACTGTTAACAAAGCATTGGAGCAATTTGTGAAGCCAGAACAGCTTGATGGAGAAAATGCGTACAAGTGCAGCAAGTATGATTGGTGGTGACTTATTGGTTCTTGCTGCTATCTGCTCAGTGGGGATGGTAGGGAGGCTTGATGTGAAAGAGTTTGGTGTGTCAGAATGTCCCCTCTGGGTTCCCTTTAACTTATGATACCATCTAGGAAGACACTGGGTCTCTATCATCCAAAGGCCAGGGCCTGTAGTATCTCAATGTTAACACTCTTTCAAGATGTACAACTCTCTGCCCTTGGGCAACTGATAGGTCATTACTGGGAGGTTTTGATGGGAAGAGAGAGGTTAGGTGGTTCACACACCATGTATTAGTACTGCCTTATAAGTGCAGCTCAGGATGGCATGTCTGCTGAGCAGCATTTTCCTCAACTTTCCTATTGTGAAAGGGTTTGGTTAGAGTAGGGAGTCATTTTTTCCCAGGACAGTTAAGGGTGTTTCTTTAGTGGTATGTATCTGGAGGTTGGGGTAGTGTCTTCTAATACCTCTAATTTTGATTGTTCATTAATTTGTTTCCCCGTGAAGTTAAGAGAACCTATTTTACAAATCCCAGTTCCATATATTTGTTTGTTATCTAGAGTCCCCCTTTTAGGAGCTTAATTTAGAGTGTTTAAAAGAAATAGTAAGGGCAGCACCTATAGCTTAGTGGGTAGGATGCCGGCCCCATATACCGAGGGTAGCAGGTTTAAACCCAGCCCCAGCCAAACTGCAACAAAAAAATAGCGGGGCATTGTGG